GGCCATTTACTGGAAGATCTTGTGTCTATTCCTTAATCTCTTTGGGCCTCTGCTTCCTCGTCTATGAAATGAGATGATAATATTCATCTCCTATGATTATTTTGAATCTTAAATGAGTTAATACGCATAAAGTACTTTGAATGGAACCTGGCACACATAGTAAGTACTCAATATCATATAAATCTGTGAAATCCAATAAAAGGTATCAGAAAATGAATTCTGACATTGAAGAGAATATTTTTGTCTTGAATGTTTACACCTCAATCTTCATGATCATGGTGGTTTAGTTGCTAAGTGCTATCCGACTCTTGCCGACCCCATGGACTGTAGCCTGTCAGGCTCCTCTGTCCATGGTATTCTCCAGGCAAGAATAGTGGAGTGGGTTGCCATTTCCTCCTCCAGGGGATCTTCTGACCCAGGGATTGAACCCAGGTCCTCCTGCATTGCAGGCAGATTCTTTACCAACTAAGCTATGAGGGAAGTCCAACATAGAAATTGAATTAAGCATTCTCTCTGAGACCTTTAACCCATTCTTTATGTAAGAGCAGGAAGAGAGGAGTGTATAGTTTTCCTGTTCTTTCCAAATATCATTTTGAGAAATAACTATTAACTGCTAAGAGAGGTCTGAAATATCTCACTTTTATAAAAGCCATCATGACTAACTCCCACCCAACTCCTACCCCAGCCCCAGGGATTCTGGAAGTCACAGGTGGACCCAAGAGACCCTTCTAAATAAAAATAAAACATATCAAATGTTAGTCAAGAGCTGTGACCCAAAGGAATAATCAGATTGATCATTTTAAGTGGCATGCCATGCCATAGAGAATCAGTACATAAGTGAGGATTAAAGAAAAATCTTAGAGTATGGTTACCCCTTTTGCTAATCCCCACATGGCATGATCTACCACTCAGCCTTGGGTCTTCTGGAGTAAATTACTTCAGTAAGTAAGTTCTTTGAGGACTTCAGAGGAGTAGTTGATTTTGAGTGTCATAAGGGAGTAGAATGTGAATGAAGTTGATTTTATATTCAAAATTAATAAATCCCCAGAACAAAGTATGACTTAGTCCACTGTTAAATCTGCCTATGGGTGAAAGGTTTGCCCTTGGAGTCTTGGCAAGACCATTGAGAGCTTGTAAGGGAGCATGGTAGTCCAGAGTCAAAAAGGAGAGCTTGTCCTTGTATTCTGGATTCACCATCCTGAGCTTGGTCAGGTCAGTGAGAGTGGGGACCCAGCCTTGGTCAGGTCAGTGAGAGTGGGGACCCAGCACCTGAGGTGGGGTGGTTTTATCACTTCTTCTGGGGGAATGAGCATTGCAGGGGATCCCTATTTCTGTAGTTCTCATGACTGTTTTAAAAGCCTTTGTCTTTTACTGGGGCCTCATCCCACACAAGGGGTTTATTTCCCAGATTCTGAATTCCCTTCATATAAAATACTGCATGGTGGTCTGAGTAGTGGTTGGAAGACGAAAGACAGATTTTCTCTAACTTTGGTGTTTCAAATGTCCGTTCTCATCCTAGCTTTCTTATAATTTCCCCGTCTGTCTTCTCAGTCTGGTATTTAGTGTTTCCATAGCATGTTATAGCTGAGTTACTTGTGATCATTTTTAGTAGTTACAGAACAAATCATGTGCAGAACATGAGCCTGCACTTAAAGTATGAAATGGAAAACCTCTGCCAAACCCAGCTTCATAATCTTCTTTTCATAAAACTCTACTGTGTCACTTGGTTTGATCTCTCTTTTTAAAACTTCCATCAACCTATTTAAGGAAAGGATAGTACTACAAGGCCTACTGCCTAAATGATTTAGCTTATAGTTGAACCAAGGATACAGTGAACCCATCCTAGAGTTAAAAAAGAAAGAAGGGGGAAAGGACCTCTTTGACCAAAGTGTTTCTTGAGCACGGTTACGGAGTTTAAATTTTTGCCCATTTCCTAATGGTCTATACCATTTTGAAATTTCTTTTGTGTTTTCTATAGTCTAGAAATTCCTACTTGCCTTGCTACCTAATCAGAAATGCATTCCAGAAAAATCTCTGGCCCATAGTAGGTGCCCAGTAACCACTTGTTGACATTTTAGCTCTTTTTACATTGTTTTCTGCTACAAGTCCTTTTTTACCTAATAAGCATTGTAATGAAAAAATGTCATGCACTAGCCTGCTTTTCACAAGACATTTTTTTATAACTCTTTACCTCTCCAAAATCCAGCCGTTTTAGCAGTCTCACCAGTGTGGAACCTAATTAAAGATCAGAAAACAAGCAATGTTTAACATTTAAGTTTCATAGTATTTTCTTTAAAGAGGCAGCGGCACATGACAGATGTGGGGAATGATTTCAGTGTTTGCTAAGGTGCAGTGCTAGAGTCAGATGCAGCGAAGTGGCTGTCCACAAGTCAACTGTTCTCTCTGGCTTTGGTTTTTTCCATCTATTAAATGTGAGAGCTATATTCATTTATCTCTAGGGTCTCTTCCAATTCTAAGACTTCTATGATTCTCTGACCACCTCCTCTCCTCCCTCCAGGCTTGTTTGTTCCTCTGTCAAATGAGAGGGTGAGAAAATATCAAAGTCCTACGTCTCTGTAACTTTAAAGGCATGCTCTTGTTTTCTTGTCCAGAAAACCTAGCTTTCCAGCATGGCTATTCCTTAAGGGTATTGGTTAGCCAAGATTTTACTGTACATTAATACGTGGTTAAAAGGACCCATTTAGTGCCTAGGAAGACATTTGGCACTGGTTAAAACTGTGGAAAAGTCCTAATTCTTCCTAGGGAACCTTGACTTCAGTGTATACAGTTACATCCTGTTGGACAGTCATCCCCCTTTACACTTGAGTTCTGTTTGAGATAAGAGAGTGTGTGTGTACATCAGATAGGAGCCTAACAGTGTGAAGTTTTTCTCCTGACAGTGTTAATCCCCCATTCCTGTTCCTAAGGCTACTGTTGATAAAGTGGTATCCAAAGTTACACTCCAGAGCAGGTGAAGTGCACTGCTGCACTGCCCTGTGTCCCAGCATCTGTTCCCTGCGGTGGTATCTGCTTTCACAGTGTGTTTGCAGAACTGGTTGGTACTGATAGAGAGGAATGCAGTAATCCTCTGATACTGACTCCAAAAGGGGAGGGTGTGGCCGAGAGACTGAGAAGACCGGACCTCTTGGGGAGCTGCCAGCTTGTGATCCTGGCCATGATCCTTTCTGAGCACTGATGGAAGTGAGTGACAGCGTGGGATCAGCTCTTCTATGTCCAGACAATTGCATCCTATAGAAGTAGAAAGATGAAACTAAGTCTCTATCTGCAGACGCCGTCGAGCTCCATCCAATTTCAGTGCCACCTTCATCCTTGCTGCTTCCCTTGCTCATGAACTTTTAGTAGCTCTCTGTGTCCTGCCATATGGTGTCATTTCTGCCTGGTGTCCAAGCCCCTTAATAGCCTGGCCACATACGCAGTCTGTCCTATACACAGGCAACTTTATTTCCCAGAATTCCTCAACCCCATCATCCACAGTCTGCTCCGTACCATGTATGCTTTTGTTGATTTCACTCTCCCTTCCTTAACTGCAGTATTCTCCCTTCATTTGATCATTTCAATCTAAACCACTGTGATCAGCAGATGCAAACTATTGTACATAGAATGGATAAACAACAAGGTCCTACTGTATGGCATAGGGAACTCTACTCAACATCCTGTTCTAAAACATAATGGATTATAATAGCCAGGACATGGAAGCAACCTAGATGCCCATCAGCAGACGAATGGATGAGGAAGCTGTGGTACATATACACCATGGAATATTACTCAGCCATTAAAAAGAATTCATCCGAATCAGTTCTAATGAGATGGATGAAACTGGAGCCCATTATACAGAGCGAAGTAAGCCAGAAAGATAAAGACCATTACAGTATACTAACACATATATATGGAATTTAGAAAGATGGTAACGATAACCCTATATGCAAAACAGAAAAAGAGACTCCGATGTATAGAACAGACTTGTGGACTCTGGGAGAAGGCGAGGGTGGGATGTTTCAAGAGAACAGCATCGAAACACGTATATTATCTAGGGTGAAACAGATCACCAGCCCAGGTTGGGTGCATGAGACAAGTGCTCGGGCCTGGTGCACTGGGAAGACCCAGAGGGATCGGGTGGAGAGGGAGGTGGGAGGGGGGACCGGGATGGGGAATACATGTAAATCCATGGCTAATTCATTTCAATGTATGACAAAACCCACTGCAATGATGTAAAGTAATTAGCCTCCAACTAATAAAAATAAATGAAAAAAAATAAAAAAATAAAACATAATGGAAAAGAATCTGAAAAATATAAATATATGCACAACTGAGTTCCGCTACTATACAACAGAAATGAAGCACAGCATGGTAAATCAACTATACATCAATAAAATTTAAGATATAAATAAATCAACCCCTTATTCAGAATGTAACTTAAGTCCCACGTCTTCTCTCAAGTGGGCCCTGAGCACTCCATGCTGCTCCGAAGCCTCAGACAGCCTTCACATAACCCCAATTCAAATTTATTCATATTCTTCCATGTAGGATACGTCCATTTTGCCTTCTGTGCAGCTGTGGGCCCAGAAAGGAGTACGCACGAGCTACCCTTCTAAACCTTGACGGGGGGCTTGCATTGGAAAGGGTGGTCTAGCAGTTTGAAAAGAAGACGTGCTCAGATTGCAGTCTGGCATGGCACACCCAGTGATGCCCATCTAAAATGAGTGGGAATAGTTGAGTGTGTGTGTGTCATATACAGCTGAGTTGCTGAATGTTCATTCCTACCTCCCCATGCCTTCCTAGCATACCCTTTTTCTTTATGTAATCTTGCTGTAATTCACCTCTTCAGTAAGCCCGCCAGGCCATGCTACATGTGATCCATTGTGACTCACACGTGAAATTCATGGCTAAGCCTTCAAAGTCAAGTTGATAGATTTGCAATAGATATGCAGTTGCTGTCTCTATCTTGGCCCCACCATTGTCTGTTTCTTCTCCCAAATTAGGTGAATCCCACCACCCAGTGTACCCACGCCCTGGTGAAGATGATGTACTGCTCCCACTGCCAAGGTCTCGTGACTGTGAAACCCTGTTACAACTATTGCTCCAACATCATGAGAGGCTGTTTGGCCAACCAAGGGGATCTTGATCTCGAGTGGAACAATTTCATAGGTGAGCAGGTGATTAATGTGTTTGTGTCACTCCTGGGCTTCCCAGGTGGCCCTCTGGTAAATAACTCACCTGCCAATGCAGGAGACATGGATTCGACCCCTGGGTTGGGAAGATCTCCTGGAGGAGGGCATGGTAACCCACTTCAGTATTCTTGCCTGGAGAATCCCATGGACAGAGGAGCCTTGTGGGCTACAGTCCATGGGGTTGCCAAGAGTCAGACACGACTGGGCGACTAAGCACCCACGCACGTACATCACTTATTAGGGATAGCTCACCTTCCAGCCACAAGAAATGTTTTATTTTTTAATTAAAAAAGATTTTTTTTTTTTTGGCTGTGCTGCATGGCTTGTGGGATCTTAGTTACCTGACCAGGAATTGAACCCCTAGCCCCAGCAGTGAAAGTGCCAAGTCCTGCCCACTGGACCAGCAGAGAATTCCCCAGGGGATGTTTTAATTGTCAGTGATGGAATTTCTGTTCATTATAATAGTGATTCCCAGAGTTCTGATAGTACTTAACCACTCAACGAGTAAATGTTCCCTTGACCTAATGGTGACATTTCTGAAGACAGTGGACACCAAGCAAATACCAGTTTTCAGTAATGAGAAAGTGCCTTTTTGACATTTTCCCCCAAAGATTAGTTTTAGTTCTACATCATAGGCTCATATCCATGTAAACGCTTGAGTGCAGCCATCACTGACCTGTGGAAGGAGCTTTTCAAATGTTATATTTGTGACATTGCAACTGAAACTTCTGCATACCTGCCAGATACCACTTAGATATTTGGATCAAGTGCAATCTGACTGTGGAAATTTTGCAGTTATATTTCTATAGAGGATTTAACAATCATAGACTGCTCTGGTGAGAATGGAAGGACTTTTGCCCTGAGAATTTCGGAGGTCAGTGTTCTCACCTACGACTTTAAAACCTAGAAAACCTATTACTAGAATCCAGACAGTGATGGAAGTGACCTAGCCAGTTTCCAAGAGGGTTAAGTATGATTTGTGGGAAATGACAAATTAGGGATAATTAAAATAGCCAGTCATCAACTCCCTGGATGCCTGCTTAATGCATATGGGAATCCTGGAATGTTAGTGGCAGGTGTTGAAGCTGCTATCTGTGTGGCTGCACACACAGACTATCAGTACCCCAAAACAAACTCCCTCCCATCCCCCAGTTGCATTTGCATAATTGCAAATTTTGAGTGTCTTTGTCAGCACCTATTTTTCACTTATTTGTCCACATCATGGGCACAGGTATACAATTTGCTGAGGGTTTTTTGTGGGGAGGGGAATAGGGGGATTTGAGCTGGGGAATGCTTTTTAGTCTGCATGAGATCTAATTATATTAACTCTGAAAGTGCATCAATAAATTGGCTTCAACAGATTCTTGAGAATACTGACACAAGGGAAAAAAGATGTGAATATTAAAACACCACAGCACAATTGTAGGCTAAATAGTTCAAAGCTAGAAGACCTGAAAAAAGTCTACACACAGAAAAGCTGAATCCCATGAAAGAGAAGGCCTAAGACCAGACACACACACACACCAGTGGCACATCATGCCCAGAAAGAAGCCATGGGAGAAATTGTTACTTGAAGATATGTCCAAATCTAAATTAAAGTTGATATACTTTTTCTTTTCTTTCTTTTTTACTCACCTTCTTACCTTCACCCGCAAATGTCATGTTTGCGATTCACTTTTGCTTAATTCATTTTTAAGAAACAAGATGGTTTACCTTTTCACTTTTCCCTGTAACATCTAATGCACTAGTTCTCTGGGCAAAGCAGTAACACTTGCACACAGTGATCTAGGTTGGCTAACTTTTCTACAGACACATCATGAATAATGCACATTATTCTGTTATTCTGACGTGTCTGGGAGAAAGTGTAATGCATAAATTTGTCTTTAAATACAAATTCTAGGGACTCCCCTGGTGGTCCAGTAGCTAAGACTCTGAGCTTTTAATGCTGGGGCCCTGGGTTTGATCCCTGATTGGGGAACTAGATCCCACATGTCACAACTAAGACCCTATGCAGCCAAATAAACTAGTAAAAATAAACATTTAAAAAAGCAAATTCTATATATTTTTCCAAGAGCTTGCAGGTCCATATTAAAACCATACTCTGGCTTCCTTAATTTACATCTTCAGCCACTTACTGTAAATCAAGGAGGACTTCATGGCTGCTATTCTTGCTGTCTGTTTTACAAATTACATTTGATATCTTCAGAAACAAAATCAAACTCAAGTGGAAATTGGTGGGATTTCAGAATCAGTTTTCCTCATTTATTTTAAATTATATTTTTTTGGAGGGAGGAGGAATATAATTCTATCTAAACTGCATTTTTAATGGGTATTTTATCCTTTATTTCTAATAAGCTGATATAAAAGACCAAGAGTAACAGACATTGTTAATCTCCAGTGCTTTTTCATGGATTTTCACAAGGGTTTAATTAATTTGCTCTGTGGTTGTTGAATTCAGCCCCAATTTACATGCCTGGGCCATAAGTTCAGTGTTTTTTTTTTTTTTTTCCTTCACAAGGAATTTTTCCTCCTTTAAATGACTGCAGTTAATGAATGGTCGAGGGCTTTTTCCCCCTGCTTATTTAAATCAGATCATGGGGTTAAGTTGGAAAACTGCCTTTTGTTCATCCAGCCTGGTCGTGAGGCTAAAGATGTGGGTTCATGATTATCAGCAGCACAGAGCAAAAGGAATCACTTTTTCTTGTGAGAAGGGGCTGCTTTATTGCAGGGAGGGAGGGAGCTGTCATGAGCACTGAAATGCTGCAGTCGGACTAGAACCTTTAAAGAGACTAAGGATGAGTTTTTCTTTTTCTTTTCCATTTATTTTTATTAGTTGGAGGCTAATTACTTCACAACATTGGAGTGGGTTTTGTCATATATTGACATGAATCAGCCATGGAGTCACATGTATTCCCCACCCCGATCCCCCCTCCCACCTCCCTCTCCACCCGATTCCTCTGGGTCTTCCCAGTGCACCAGGCCAGATGAGTTTTTCAAATCTGCTTTTCCACTGTGCCCTTCTGCCTCTCTTGAACTGCACCTATTAAACTGTCACCCACCTTGATAAAGGTGGATCCAAATAGTTAAAACACCTTGGACTTGGTTTCTAAGCGGTTATAGGAAACCCTCTTTTTGAAAAATAGTGCCCCCACAACAAAAGTCAATTTCTGGAGAATCATAAATTATGTGTAGGTGCAACTTGCTCTCCGTCATATACTACCATTGTGCTAACATTCATTTGACTCCCAGCCAACCTTATTCACATCACGTGTCGCTGCCATTGGGAATTTAGTATGAGGGGGTTGGAATTGCTGGCTAGGCCATCAGCTAGTTCCTGGCAGGAGGCAGGAGCTGGTCAGCTGTCCCCCAAAGGGAGACCTGCAGCCTAGATTTATCAGAAGCAATAACACTGGATCTGACATCATCAGATCATGGAGGCACCCAGTGGATGGCTTAGCAGGACCTGTCCCAGGACTGAGCAGGGACTTTGGTTTCCGGGCTGCAGGCTCTGGGCAAAACACAGCCTCACTCGAATTCTTCAGCAACACCACACGCAGCGCTGATATGACAATTCCAGCCCCACTCCCTTCTCAGGCCCTTGTGCATGGCCAGCCGGCCTGGAGTTGACAAGAGATGCCAAACAGCCAGAAGAATTAGGGTTTATGTTCCCTTTCACAAGCACGTTCGTGATCTGGCCTTTCCTCACCACTAGGGAATAAGTAGTGATGGGATGCACTGTTTCCTTCCTATGTAAACCTCTGTATTTGGGATTTTTCTCTGGAGCTGGCGACTTCTTGACTCTGAGGGTCTGTGTTCTGCAGACATGGTGGTGCTGATACTTTGACAACGATGAACACGTTTAGGTTGTGCTCCACTTGTTTACAGGACTCCCCTTTCACTAGCACATCAAATGCATTTTTCCTCTCCTGGAAAAACGGTATATTCATGCCAACAGGCTTTCCTTAGAGGTTGGGAGTATCAGTTTTGGTGATTACCACAAAGTGACCTAAAACTTCATTCATTATGACTTTCCCCCCAAATGTGCATTGCTCGGAAGTCTACTCGTGGTTTGTGACATTGGAATTCTGGTTGAGAGAAATGAGCTCGAGCTTTAATATGTTGGGCCACATTCATTCTTGGGGGAGGTGAAAGGTTGCTGACCACCTACGAGCTTAGGTAGAAGTTCAGCTGTGGCCTATGCTTTGAGAGGGACATACTCTGTTCTAGAACCTTGCCCTTCTTTCCGGCTGCCATCCTTAGACTACCTGAAGGCTGTGGAGTATGTGGGCCTAATACTCCTTTAAGGGGAAAGAGCACATGGAAAAGTTCACTGCTTGCCATAAATGAGGCATCCTTTTTCTTATTTGGAGGTGACCTTTCCAGTTTCTTCTAATTTTGCACAATAAGTATCAGGGAAAACTACTAACTAAATCCCAAGAACCATGGATGACAAGAAAACCAGTACAGGGGGTGTTTGTCTTTAAGAGATTCAACGTGTCCTAAAAAATTCTAGACTTTTCCAAAATGTAGAAATGATTTGCTGGGTAATTAATGAATACACTCATTGTAAACACAGATTTTGTGCCTTGTCTCTGTTTTTTCATTTGAATAAAAAGTGGCACGTTTTTTGCTTTAAAATAACTCAGGACCCTTGTATTTGAAATTGGAAGTTTATCTTAATACAAAAATTGCATTTTACAAAATGCCATTATTTGTAAAGTCCTTAGAATTCCTAAGGAGGCGCCTAGAATTCCTAGGAACACTTTCATTTATATTTTCTAACTGTGTACCCAAGCATCTGAAAGGGTTTCATTTAAAAAATGAAAGAAAGAATTGATATGCCAGGATTTGAGCTGATTTATGTTTTTGACTCTTGCAAATCGAACGTGAAATGGGAAGAGCCGTGGAAATCCCTGGGCGAGCCAGCGTGTTATTCTACTCAGGCAGAATCTGTCAGGCAGGAGCTAGGTCAGAGCTATGCAGTGACAGCCACTGATACGTGGAGGGATGAATTATCAGTGTAATAGAAGGTTCCCAATTGTGTTTTCTTGCTGGGGAATAAAGTCTTCATCTGGCAACTTCCCTCTCTAGAGAGCTGGTGGTATATAGCGACTGAATGCAGTTTTGTGTCATAGAAAAAGATACAAAAGCATGAATTAATGATGATCATGCCTCCCCCTCCAACACCCCCCACCAAGGGAAACAGACAGTAAAACAATCAGACTGATCACTCAAGGCCAAGCTAATGATTTACTTTGCTGTATTGTTCTACCCCAAACCTCATGTTAGATGCTATGCTGATGGTGGCCGAGAGGCTGGAGGGTCCTTTCAACATTGAGTCAGTCATGGATCCCATCGACGTGAAGATATCAGATGCTATCATGAACATGCAGGAGAACAGTGTGCAGGTATCTCAGAAGGTAAGGAAGGCAGGTCCTGGATTGGAGAGGCGGGGCCCACTCTAGCCTGCTATGCCTCACGTGGCCACATTTATGCCCATGCAGGTTTTCCAGGGATGCGGACCCCCCAAGCCCCTCCCAGCCGGTCGGATATCCCGTTCCATCTCAGAAGGCACCTTCAGTGCCCGCTTCAGGCCCTTCCATCCTGAGGAGCGCCCCACCACAGCAGCTGGCACCAGTTTGGACCGATTGGTGAGCCCTGGGGCAGGATTGGCCGTATTTAATGGCAAAAAACTGAAAACATTTGCTCAAAATATAGGTTGATTTGAAGGATTCCAAGCACGGGGTCTTTTCAGGTGAAACTTTTCCAGCAAATTGCACAGGGATGTCAGTGAACCTGCTTCTCTGATGTCCTCGCTCAGAAAGTTTATCCATAGAGCTAGAAAGGGGTGCTCTGAGGCTTATCTGAGCACCTACCTTTTATGTTACAGTATGGTTAACTCATCATAGGCTGGATCCTGAGTCATCAAAGCCCTGCAAGAAGATACTGTGTTTTTCCAGTGTATCTCTGGGGCGTGGGACCTGGTAGGCCCCAGATGGCAGCTCTACTGAAGAACAGGAATGGACAGTGGGTGTAGGCACTAGGCAGCTGTTTTTTATTTTAAATGGCAACTTAATTCAGAGCTCGCATTAATTAATTAATTAATTAAATTAATTCTTTTGGTGATTTTATACATTTTACATAGAAGTACTGGGGCAACCAGTAAGGTCATTCGGGTTTTCCCACAAAATGGTGTGGGAAAACCTGAACGAATTTTTGGCCAAGCCAAAATCTGCATTTTTCTCTTCAGACTACAGAGAGACTCTGGAGATACTTTTGACATGATCTGAAGGCACATCTGTAGGTAGTTTTGAGTTTTTACAGAGATGGTTTTTCTTCCCTCTCTCTCTCAATGAGGTTACTGATGTCAAGGAGAAACTGAAGCAGGCCAAGAAGTTCTGGTCCTCTCTTCCTAGCAATGTCTGCAACGATGAGAGGATGGCTGCAGGGAATGGCAATGAGGATGACTGCTGGAATGGAAAAGGCAAAAGCAGGTGAGCCATCATTGGGCAAGTGTGCAGTTTCTCCCTACATGCCTGGGGAACTTTCAGAGAAGGTTTGCTCGGTTGTTTCATCAAGGCGTTGTGTAGCCTTTCACAAGCAGGTGGCAACAACATGGAACATTTCTAGGCATTCTTAGGAATTGGCATAGAAGTGTCAGGAAGGCCCCCAGCTACTTGCAGAGAGTCTCAGGGCAAAGGTTTGTGCCTGTGGTTATATGATAGCATTACTGCTGCAATCAAGGATTGAGTTGTTCTAATAGTGTCATTATTTTTCACTGCTAGTGGCAAATACTAGAACCTAGAAAGAATCTTTTCCAATCTTCAGCAGCTTTTGTTTTCCTGATCCTCTTAACGAGGTCATTTCTCATTGCAGGTACTTGTTTGCTGTGACAGGAAATGGTCTGGCCAACCAGGGCAATAATCCAGAGGTCCAGGTTGACACCAGCAAACCGGACATACTGATCCTTCGTCAAGTCATGGCTCTTCGAGTTATGACCAGTAAGATGAAGAATGCTTACAATGGGAATGATGTGGACTTCTTTGATATCAGTAAGAATGTGTGCTTCTAAATAACAAATTGTTATATGTTTGTTTGTACACCTTGAGATGAGAAAGAGCAGAATAAACATTCCCTTTTTTTTTCCCCAAAAAAATAGGTGACGAAAGCAGTGGAGAAGGAAGTGGTAGTGGATGTGAGTCTCAGCAGTGTCCTTCGGAGTTTGAATATAATGCAACTGACCACTCTGGGAAGAGTGCCAATGATAAAGCCAGCAGCGCTGGGGTCCCCACTGGGGCCTGGCCCTACCTCCTCACTGCCTTCTGCATCTTAGCCCTGGTTATGCAGAGAGAGTGGAGATAATTCTCAACCTTAGAGAACAAGTGTTCATCGTCAGTTACAAAGGCACTGGTTATCACTTTTATACCATCCTAGTGACTTTGCTTTTTAAATGAATGGACAACAATGTACAGTTTTTACTATGTGGCCACTGGTTTAAAAGATGCTGACTTTGTTTTTTCATTCAGTTTTGTGGGAGAAGGGGACTTGTACGTAAGGTCAGTCTGGCCTCCTCAGAATCATGTTAAATGTGGCTAACAGTGTAGGTACAGAACTGTAGTTAGTTGTGCATTTGTGATTTTTATCACTCTGTTTGTTTGTTTTCTTTCTGTTTGTGGGTTTTTTTTTCCTTTCAATATGATCTCACCTTGTTTATTACAAGAAAACCAGGGTCCTTTCTTGGCATGTAACATGTACGTATTTCTGAAATATTAAATAGCTGTACAGAAGCAGGTTTTATTTATCACGTTATCTTATTAAAAGAAAAAGCCCAACAAGCAGTAAAATTGCCATCTATCCCTGTTGTTTTAGTTGCCTTATCTGGAGAGAAGAGGAGGTGTTGTATTTTTTTTTCTGCAATGTGAAGGCACAAGAGGGCTTCTGAGCCACTTGTCAGGTTGTGTTCAGGCATCAATTCAAGAAGAAGGTTATACTTCATTTATAGCTGGTGACTGGAAGAGGCTGCAGACTACCCATTTTGGTTGAGTTGGGTTGTATAAACTTCAATCACAGATCAGTCCATTTCTGGAAGCCGCTTATCCATCTAGAAGATTCTTGATCTCCCTTGAAAGATATAAGGCATTCAGGGTATCCCAGGGTATCACACTTAATTTGGGGGTGGGTTTGGTTTGGTGTTTTTTTTTTTTTAATAGAGGCAAGTTGGCAAGCCACTGTGCTGGTCTTTGTGTCCACACTTGACCCACTTTGACAAGATCAGGTGTGTTGAGGGTGGTATGGCCATAGACCACCCTCTTTGAACTGATATCCCACCAGCAGAAGTAAGTGTCTAGCAATCTCACTAGGTCCCTCTTGTTCCAGATTCCAAACCCAGTCATAGCTGTCTGGGGGGCTAGCCAGAATTGGGGTACAGCCTGGGCTCAGGCAGTAAGTATCAATACTCAAGCAAAGTTTTTGTCCATGCATGTGTATTTGCATTTATTTGGTTTTGGATCCCAGTGTTTTGTTTTTAAAAAAGATTCTAAGGTGTCTTATTGAGTCTTTTTCTTGCCCAGCCCTGCCCCATCTGAAAGCCAAAGGTCTTGCCATGGTTCACAGCTGTGTGCTACCCTATCAGCCAAGCACCCCAGTTGGGGAGCTCTGAGTGTCCAGATTTTTCTTCTCATGTTGTTGGGCGTTTGGGGGGGCGGCAGGGAGGAATGGGAGTAGGTAAAACTGAGAAGAACACATCTTGGGGTGACCTTTAATCACGCAGGTGAACTGACAAAGGCCATTGACTCTTGTCCCAGACCAAAGAGTAACCACTGCCTTGGCCCCTTTGGGGCTGTTTCCTTGTGTCTTTACCAAATGACAGCTCATAAAACTGTGAGAATGTAACAAATCACGTTAAAAGGAGTTCCAGAAGTCTTCAGAAAGAATCAAACTCTGCAAAGGCTCTTCTTGCTTTAGACAGCCATTCAGATCCCAACCATTCCCCAAAAGCTGAAACCCACAGAGAGGTTGTTTGTATTATTGTTCAATCTTCAGTTATAAGAGTAATTCTCTATTTTTATATTGAAACGTAATTACTTGATAGCTCAGGGTCTACATTTTCATTCAGCTTTTTACACCAAATTCTGCAGAATGGACAAAATGGAATATTGGGGCTGTTATAAACAGAGGCTTAATTTTATTAGAAGTAGCCAGTTATTTATTAAAGCATGATGTTAATAAAATAGGCATATTCTGGCTCATGTGTATAAGTTTTGTTTCTTTTAAACAAATCACAGAAGACGTAAAATTGAGAAGGCGCTCCATTTATGTATGAGGAAAAATTGATTGTAAATAGCTAAGCTGCCTTGTGAGAACTTGGAAAATGTGCTGATACTTAGTAACTACCTCAGTTGTGAGGAATTTCCTTTTTAGCTTAGACTGCTATTACTTTTACTTGGTAGAAATCAATCTGGTCTCCAAAATGTGGCTCAGAGAGTTATCCCCATAGACCTTGTTAGATTGTTTTTAATTTAAAACCTTGAACTCTGCCCAGCTGTTTTCTTTCAGTCAAGTTCTCGAAACCAATAACATTTTCCGAATTAAATATTCTTGAAGGTTCTTCTGGAGTCTAAATGATTTGTTTTCTTTCTTTGCAATTTTTCCTGTTACTCTTTTATTATTTAAATTGTCTCTTGCCTTTGAACTTGAACTATGAAATAAACAAATCATAGATTTTTCCATTCAGGTCTGACTGGATAACTGTTGGCTTCCAACCAGCTGGCAGACTCACACCCCCACCCTCCCCAAAACAGGAATAAAGGCAAGTTGAATATTTTAAAAATCTTAAGAGTTCAGTATATGAGGTAGAAGGAAAGCTTTGTGAGGAGACCTTGCTTTTCCAAAGCCTCAGTTGATAGCATGTGAAGAGTTTGTGCTTTGCAAAGTCATTAATTAATTACTGGTTACTTTCAAACACTTCACTCACTCTGTACCTTAAGAAACATGTTACGAGTCTTAGATTGTATTTTATTTCAAAACTAGTAATTAGCACCTGTTATTTTGCTAAAACTGTACAAACAATTGACTTAGATTTTTGAACTTTAGTTTCCTGGCTGTTAGAAGCCTAGCAGTATACAAATAATTTTTTACGAAAATTAACAGTTAAATCTTTAAAGTGAACCTTACTGTATGTGATTACAAAACCACAATAAAAATAGGTATAGATGGTGCTACACAAAATTCTACTTCCCCTTTTATGTTGGCAGAATATGTCTATTTGCATAGCTCAAAGGTAGTTATGTTAATAACAGTATCTACTACAGGAAGCGTCTGTGTGTGTGTGTGCACTTTCTCTCAAGCAAAGACCATACTATCAAATACAACTTTCTTTTTGAAATAAAAAAAGCACTGAGAATAATCTTCTAATTAGAACTTAATAGGAAAAATGTAATTTGGCATTCCGTGATATACTTTAAAAATTCAGTTTCTACCTTTAAACTCCTGTTTGTTTTCTTTTAAAAATCCTTCTATATATGTGAAAAATACCTGCAAGATAACATGGTAATACAGGAATTCAAGCCCATCAGTAAAGCTAATGGCTATGTAATAAAAAATGCTTGTCTAATTGAGGTTTTAAGTAGGTTGTATATTGACCAGGTTTAAAAACAAAAGCCTGCACTACAGAAGTACAGAGTGAAAGTTTCTATCTTGTTCTTGCATTCATCTGCTCATTATCCCTACACCCTAGATAAACTTATTAGTTATTTCTATATATCTTCTTCCAAAGTTCCTTTATGCAAATATAAGCAAATATGAATAGAGATTTTTCTTTTTTGTCTCTTTACCTGAAAGGTAGAATATTATGCCCAACCATCTCATATTTTTTAGGTTTCTCATAACTTTAAAAAGTATTGAGAGGAAGAGGAGACCGTAAAGGACTCCTGTTCAAAAGGCATGGCTTCTCTGTGCTACCACAATTTGGATTTTTACTGCATTTTGGCCCAGATTAATCTGAGTAATTTTTCAAGAAATAAACATGGAATTGATGAGGAACAGTTTGACCCTATAGTGCTGTAATCCCAGAGTGCACAATTAGGATGCTCTCTGTGCTTCATTAAGGTTCATTTTTGGCACTTTGTTTCCGTATCATCACCAGCAAAGAAGACCTTGGGCAAAGTGATCGGATAGATCTTCTTAGAGCACAGCACATTAATACCACTGTTAATGCTTGGAAATGGTTCAAGAAGGAAATGTCATGCCCTGGAGTGGACTCATATTCTATTAAAGTACTCTTAATGTTTCCTCAAGCTCAAATGCCTCGAAATAGCATCAGCCACCACACAGGAAGGAGATGAGAGTGTTAGGAAAATGTGTAACCAGATTGTCTGGGATACCACATGAATTATCTGTCTAGTGGTCAGGGAATCATTAGGATATGCACGTGTCCAAGTTCAGTTTTCATGTAAGATTAAGTGTTTACTCATCAGGGCATGAAGTGACTTCTAAGTTCAGAAGTAATCAGAAAAATTCCGAAAATCATTGTTCAGCTTGAGGGTCCATGTGTGGAATTAAATGCCCAATTTTACTCTACTTTTGATATTTCTTCAAGAAATATTAGGAATTCGGGGTGGGGGGGAAAGTATAGGATCATTGGAAAGAAGATTTTCATGCATCAATCCTGCCCGGTTCATGCTGATAAAAGGTGAGAGGTATGGTTAAAGAATTGAAGAAACAGCACATGTGTGATGAAACAAGATGCTTTTCTAAAGGGTTCATGGTCTGGGACTTCCCTGGTGGTCCAGTGGTTGGGACTCCACATAGGAGGCATGGGTTCAGTCCCTGGTCAGGGAACTAAGATCCCATATGCCTCTTTGGCACAGCCAGAAAAAAATAAAAATCATTAAAGAAAATAAAGGGCTTGTGGTCTAATAGACTTTAATCAAAGTTCCCTGCACTTCGGGGAAGTTTTGCAACAACTTTCTTGCCCTACTATGTGTTGCTGTGTTTCTGACCAGAGAGAGTTGGAAGTCCTGTGTGTTTGTGAGTATAAACAGAGTTGTATCTACACACAGAGGTACATTTGTGTATTTTCAAAAACCCTGTCACTTAGGGCTGCCTTCTCCCTGCTGGCAGTGGTGTATGCTTGGGGAACGCAGACAAATTTTAATAATAGCCTAAGGGAAACATAATTAGGAAGGTAGGTCTCCTGCCAAGGGGGAAAAAAAATACACGCACATATAAAATGCATTCCAGATAGGATTTCTTAGATTTACCACTGCCTGGGATTTGCTTTTCTGCCTCATGATTGACAGCCTCCAGCTGCCCATAACCCTCTCTTCTTGGTGACTTGCTGCATGGGGCAATTTGTGCCAAGTTGGCCAGAAATAAATAGTCATGGTCAGCGGGTGGTTTTCTGAATATACCCTAGGATCTCAGCTCTCTGACTGCAGTTGACTTTAAAAGTCTTTAGTAGCCCTGCTCTCACGTCTCTCTTTTTGTTGTTATTGTTCAGTCACTAAATTGTGTCCGACTCTTTATGACCTCATGGACTGCAGCACACCAGGCTTCCCTGCTCTTCTGCATCTCCCAGAGCTTGCTCATACTCCTGTCCATTGAGTCAGGTGGCCAAAGTATTAGAGCATCAGCTTCTGCATTGCTCCTTCCCATGAATGTTAAGAGTTGATTTCCTTTAGGATTGACTGGGTTGATCTCCTTGCAGTCCAAGGAACTCTGAAGAGTCTTCTACAACACCACAGTTCAAAAGGATAAATTCTTCAGCGCTCAGCCTTCTTTATGGTCCTACTTACATCCATACATGACTACTGAAAAAACCATGGCTTTTACTATATGGACCTTTGTCGGCAAAGTAATGTCTTTGCTTTCTAATATGCTGTCTAGGTTTGCCAGCTTTCCTTCCAAGGAGCTAGCATCCATGACTGAAGTCACTATCCACAGTGATTTTGGAGTCCAAAAAAATAAAATCTCATTGCTTGTACTTTCCTCTTTTCTATTTGCCATGAAGTGATGGGACCAGATGCCGTGATCTTAGTTTTTTTTAATGCTGAGTTTTCACCCAGCATTTTCACTTCTCATTTAAGTATAAGGAAAAATTGTGTTTACTCTGTTGTTGGAGTTCTGAATACTTTGCAACAAGTTCTGGCAGCAGCAATGAACAGAAAAATAGCACATTGACTGTAAAAAGTCATTCCTTTGTACTTCAGTTAATTCACCTGCAGTGAGGCAGGATGACCCTGTGTGGCTGGCACTAAAGCTGGGCCATGGCCATGATCTCACAGGATCTTGAAAAGTAGAAACCCTTCCATTTTGCAGATGTGTCAAAGGGATAAGTTGGGTGACTTGTCCAAGGGGTGACAGGTAAGAAATGCAAAAACAAGAGCTGGAACAGGGCTTTGTCTGCCACAAGGGCCTACTTATCTCGGGAGCCATTTTTCCTTCTGTTACCCTTTCCCCTTTATTTCACATCTGAATAGGCAGGAAGGAATGGTGCTTGTCAGTCTTGCTGCATGAAGAGCTCTCCCAATCCTGTGGAAGGGCCAGGGTAAGGGTCACGGCAGACCTTGGTTGACTTGGCTGGCCCGAGTACAAGGCGAGGAATCGAGGACCACCTGGAGACCAATCTTGAACATTTTTCTAACCACACACAGTGGCTCCTTGCTCAGCTGACTTCAAGTCAGAAAGAGCTTCGATGATAGTGGAAGGGGACCTTGTGGTTGTAAGGAACTGGCATTAAGTCATGTGACTTTGTCTGCCCCAGGACAGCATCATATGATCATGTATGAACTGGCATTGGGGGTGCTGGACAGCTGCCTTGCTGAGAAGGGACTCACTGAATACCATGGTAATGAAAAGAATACCATGATTTATGTTGGAAAAATTCACACCTGTTTAATCAACTGGAGTTTTGTGAGGAGGTAAATACATCTTGCAATAAATAAGGCACAGTGAATACTTGGGCTTCTTAAAGAGCCCTTGAGAAGATTTCAAAGTCCTACCCGGGTTAGAGATAGGACACAACCGAGCTTACAGGGACTATTCCAGCCTGGGGAGCGTAACAAAAGCTTCCTCCTGCTGTACTAGTCTTCATGCTGCTTAGAAATGATAACATCTGAAGACAAACTGTGCTTTAGGGTCCAGAGATTTTTGACTCACCTTTTGCTACCTAGGGCAAGGTGGGGTGGGGAGGAGAGAGAACCTGGGAGCTTTGGTTGGTTTCCTGAATACATGTCCAAGCGTGCCCATCGAGCAGTATGTGCTATAAAGCTACGGAAAAGTCCTGCTCTAGCTGTATTCTGATTCTGGTGTTTGATCTCAATCTTGACACAAGGTCCAGAGAGATGTCATTGAAAACCAGCAGGGACCAAGGGCTCTGCCTCCAAAAGAAAGGCAAGTGAAGGCCTCGCTGGTCTACGGAGAGAGGTGCTGAGAGGCCATGTGACCCCCCACCCCCAGATGTTGTGGGAAGAGCAAAGTCCTAGGACTCAAGGCAAACTGTCTTAGAATGTGTAAATGGTCCGTTTTGAAGAAAGAGGAGTTCTTCCTTTACTCAATGAATAGTGACTTATGTAATTGGTTAAACCAAAGGTGCTGTAGGCTGATGATGAACAAAATGGTGGATAGGAGTGGTGTAGAGGCAGCCACTGTGGGGGCTGCCAGAGGTTGGTGTTCACCTTGCCCCTTGGGCCACTGGCCTACACACAAGTCAGAGCTGGATGGATCCTTATGTGCCCCACATTGTGTAATTTGCCCTCTAAATTCCCTTTTGGAGAACTGTAATTTACGTGCAACCAAAGTATTTGAAATTCCTTGTAGTATTGAAACAGACTCTAAAAATGAAATACCTAGAGATGTCCGCCCTTGGTGAGCAGAGGTCTCTAATGGCTCTGGGTATATGGGCCTCCCAAATTACATGGGATTTGAGACAATAATCTGATTTCTGACACGTCTGGCCTTGCTCTGTGTTGGAGGACAAGAGGGAGGATGTAAGTAAGATGGAGTCCTCCTCGTCAGGAAGCCACTGGGGAGACAGCGATGTAGGACTAACTTCTGAGCATGGTAGTGTGATAGGTATGGGTAGTGAGCAGGTGGAAAGGAAAGGTGTGTGAAGCGCAGAGACCATTTCGCTAGTACAGGGTGGGGCAAGGGTGAGGTCAGTAGGAAGCTCTCAGAGGCCAGGCAATTTTCAGTTCAAGGGAGCGGGGACTTCCCTGGCGGTCCAGTGGCTAAGACTCAAGCTCCCAGTGCAGAGGGTCCAGGCTCAATTCCTGGTCAGGGAACTGCAAGGAACCACATGCTGCAAGGAAGATCAAAGATCACATGTGCCACAACCAAGACCCAGTGCAGCTAAATAAATAAATATTTGTATAAAATTCAAGGAGGGCACAATCTAGTGCAAATTATTGAAAGGACTTGACCTGTTGCCCAGTGTGTATAAAGAAGATAAACTAAGTATGAGGTTGCCCTTGGGTTTGACCACATGCTCTGCACTTTATAGCCTGAAAGGGCTCAGTTCCCTTCATAACTCGTGCACTCTGGCCTCCCCCAAATGATCTTGATTTGGAACTCTCTGGTAATGACAACCCAGTTCTACTCACGGAGTACTTTTTGGATGTCCAGGCTCAGAATGCAGTCAGACACATCAGATATTTGCACTCCGGCCACCCACCTGCACATATCTCCGTTTCTTTGAGCACTGCCTCCAGCTCACCTGCACGGCCAGGCCCTCCAGAGCTCCCAGGTATATTCGGCCACACCCTTCTGCTCTGGCCTCCTGGCTCTGAAGAAGAACACGGAGAAGCATCCCAGGAGTCTGGTTCCCCAGATACCATCCTGCACAGACCTGGGATTGCAAGGGAGTGAGGAAACATCCTGAAACATTAGACAGCCAGTGAGGGGGATGAATGGGCCAATATCTTTCAGGTTAAAGGAGGAGCCCTGCCTGCTTGCCTCCTGCCATCCCAGGTGGCTTATGTCACTTGACCACTGGGGTAGTCAATCACAGTTTGAAGACTATAAAGTCTCCATTTCTTCCTGGGCTTTTCGCATCTAGACTTCGGGTGCTGGAAACACAGTGGTGTTCCAAGGGTCAGGAGTGCTCCTCCAAGGGATGAGGAATCAGGAGCTGCTTCATCCATCACAGGCCTTTGCCCAGAACAGTGGCTATTTTCAAACCTTGCTCACCAGGTTCCGCGGCCACTAAGGCCCCTGGAGGCGGGATGACCGCCTTCCCAAGGCCTGCACGGAGCCCCACCTCTGGCAGGGGACCCAGGTTAGAGCCTGTACAGGAAGGAGCTCCAGCTGCGGGACCTCTGAGATCCTGGCTCCGTCTGCCCTCTTGGCGCCCTCTTTGTGGGCTGCACACTATCCACATTTAGAACTGGCCTGGACACCGACCATTGCTGAGTGATAGCAGGAAAGCTGCGTTTAGATCAAAGCCTTAGGCTGAGGTTTTCTGGAAAATGAGCAAGGAGAATGAAGCCTGGTTCTTACAGGCAAGAAAAGATTCTAACTTTCTAATAATGTTGTTGTTCAGTCGCTAAGTCATGTCTGACTCTTTGCGACCCCATGGACTGCCGAATGCCAAGTTCCTCTGTCCTCCACAATCTCCTAGAGCTTGCTCAAACTCATGTCCACTGAGTCAGTGATGCCATCCAACCATCTCATCCTCTGTCACCCCCTTCTCATTTTGCCTTCATATTCTGAATTGAGGGTTCAAAACAGAGGAAGATCCAAAGTGTCCCTTGACCTCCCATCACCCTGACCTTTTACTGTTCTCCATCCCCAAAACATGCCTCATCTCTACTCTTTTCTACTAGGACCTCTAGAGGAGAATTCCACACACTAAGCCTTCTATCCGGGAGGCAGGCAGACAGAAAACTTAGGCGAGCACCTGTCCAGCCTCTTAATTACCCATCCCCACCCCACTTCTCTCCACCTTTCTCCCCAGTTTCCCACCAAACTGAGTCCCTTGAGAGTTACCATCTCCTTTGTAAAGGGCTTCCCTGGTGGCTCAGCGGCAAAGAATCTGCCTACCAATGCAGGAGACGCAGGTTCAAACCCTGGGTTGAGAAGATCCCCTGGAGAAAAACCCATTCCAGTAGTCTTGCCTGGAGAATCCCACGGGCAGAGGAGCCTGGCAGGCTACAGTCCACAGGGTCGCACAGAGTCAGCCACGACTGAACAACAGCAACAGTCCTGTTCTAAAGAAACGCTTTTCTCTCCTGGTCACGTAATGAAGCTTCCCCAGCTTCTCTGATTGCAGAATTGACAGGGAGAAAGGAAGAAGCTGTGCAGAAGTGTTTCCCAGGATCAAAGTCCCATCTGTATCTCCCTGAAGAATCCAAGCTGCTCTTGGAAGCCCAGTATGGGAGGAAATGGGTGATGCTGAGTAATCCCCTGTTCTGTCTTTCCTGTAATCTTCTGGCCCAGACCATGTGGATTAAAAGAGTGGTTTTGCCATATCTCTATATGATGTTAAGAGGACAAGATCCAATCAAAGACTGTGGTATTAGTTAAGCCCATCCTGGCTCAAGTAAGGATAAATCCAACTCAAAATGATCTAAACAACAAGGGATTTATCATCTCATATAACAAGAAGATATGATGTAGGGATGCTCCAGGAATGCTTATTTCTCAACATTATTATCAAGGATCCAGAGCCTTTCCATCTTTTAACTTTGAGCTGTTGAGTAAGAAAGCTAAGCTAATCAAGATTCGTGCCCCGGGCAGAGTCCAGTCTTATCTGAAAGACAAGGCCACAGGGAAGAGGATGAACACTAAACTACCCTGAACAAATTAGGGGCTGATCAGCAAGGAAGAAGAGAGGAATGGCTATTGGGTAGGCAGATAACTGGGTTGGTTACACCAGTAGGCACATAGGGCACTCTTGCTGCATCCAGGGTGGCGAAGTGCATGGTTGTTGTTGTTTGGTTGCTAAGTCGTGTCCGACTCTGCGATCCCGTGGACAGCAGCAAGCCAGGCTCCCCTGTCCTCCACTATCTCCACTATCAGATTCATGTCCATTGAGTCGGTGATGCCATCCAACCATCTCATCCTCTGTTGTCCCCTTCTCCTCCTGCCCTCAATCTTTCCCAGCATCAGGTATTTTCCAATGAGTTGGCTCTTCACATCAGGTGGCCAAAGTATTGGAGCTTCAGATTCAAAACTGCATTAGGCATCAGCAACTTTGACAGGGATAGAAAACTGCACGGAGCTTCGGGGATTCCAGAATGCAGAGCTACACAGACATAAATTCACCTTCTAGACATACCAGCTCAACTCAGTTCCCAGGGTCTCTTCAAGGACTTCCAGGTCAATCTTGAATCCTTAGTGATTCGTTGTCCTTTACAACAGTCCTGCCAAGCGGTTGCCCAACCACTGCTTGAACAGCTCCAGTGACAGGGATCTCACTGCTTCACCAATGGTGTTATCTCTAGGCAGCTCTAAGTATTAGAAAGGGTTTTCTGCCGACTCCAGAGTGTCCACGTATGTACTGTTTGCTCAGTGATTAGGTGGCAAAACCTTTGAAGTTGCTGTCAGTGTTTACTGGAAATGGAAGTTTTCAGATGTTTCTAACTAAAATTTCCTTGCAGATTCATAAGTGTTGCCAAGAGATACTTTAAAAAATAAACAATTGAGTAACTCTGGGAAAATTTTGGCTTGTCTGCATTAAGATCTGTAGATATTTTTCATAATTCAAACCCATTTTTGGCTTGACTGGTTTAAATTTTAACAAGAGGTTAGACCATAGCATAACCTAATAACTAACATTTGGCGGGGGTGGGGGGGAATGTTTTAAGGAAATGCCTTGTGGTATTAGCTTTAAAAGTAGTCTTTGTATGTGAGTCCCACATAGCTCCTGCCCCAGTTAGACTAGAGAAGCCTAGCTGAACTCCTCGTTGTCCCTGTGGGAAGAGGAGGTCATCTCTTGCTGTTAGAGTAAGATAGTGTATTTGGTGTGTTCACATGAATCTAGATGAATGGGAAATAGCAATGGCTCCTGCCCTGGCCATGACCACAAGGACTTGGTAACAATGATGGCTGTGCTGCAGTGGGTGGGAGTTGGGGACAATGTCTCAAGGGGATTCTAGGGTAGAGATTAAGGTATGTTTTGTCCCCTAATAACTGTTCTTCTCTGGATACATGGATTGCCACTCCCTGATCAAACCAAAGGAAGTTGCCCAGGCTCACCAGAGTCATAAATTCTAGTCAATTGTTTTTAAATCTCAATATGATGTTATGGAAAGATTTTCTCTATGTCCAGCTGGGAAGATTGCCCATAAGTGTGCCTGCATTGTCAGAGACATGATATTACTTTTTTAAAAAACTGAAGTATAGTCAATGTAGAGTAATATTATATAAGTTACAGGTGTACAATAGAGTGATTTATAATTTTTAAAGGTTATACTTCATTTATAGTTGTTATAAAATATTGGCTATATTCCCTGTGTTTTACAATATATCCATATAGCTTATTTTATACTTCATTCCCTACCCCTTCATTGCCCCTCATCCTCCCCTCACCCCACTGGTCACCACTAGTTTGTTTTCTATATCCTTGAGTCTGCTTCTTTTTTTTTATTATTATATTCACTACCTTGTAGTAATTTTTCAGATCTACATTTAAGTGATAATCATACAGTATTTGTCTTTCTCTGACTTATTTCACTTAACATAATGCCTTTCCAATCTATCCATGTTGTTGCAAATTTTCGTTCTTTTTCATGGCTGAGTAGTATTCCATCCTATATATGTACCGCATATTTTTTATCCATTCATCTGTTTATGAACACTTAGGTTGTTTCCATGTCTTGGCTATGAACATTGGGGTGCGTGTATCTCTTCAAATTAGAGTTTTTGTTATGAAATAAAAAGTAATATTTCAAGGTTGATTCCCCAGTGAGTCACAGGAGCAGTGAGTGGCTAACCTCTTGAGGGAACAGCCTAAACAGACCCTATTGGAAAAATGAGAACATGTCTGTTAAAGGAGAATGGCCACATGTGACTACTGGAAATTGGGAGCTATCTTCTGAAGGTTGGTTCCACAGGCTATGTCAGTCTCTAATGTTACCCCCACTTTTACCACTCTCCAGATTCATGTTCATTCCCTCCACCACCAATTCTGAAGCCACTGTCCTTGTAGCAACGCTACTTCCTTCCACCTCCCGTCTTTGGGACTGGCCACCCCATGTTCAGATATGGGATTTGGGTTTGGTTTCAGCTTTGTAGAAATATGATTAAGGCAGAGTTATACTTCTCTAACAGTGACCAAGAGCTTGACATAGTCTGTGGAACCAACCTTCAGAAAATTGCTCCCAGTTCCCAGTAGTCACAGATGGCCATTCTCCTTTAACAGACGTGTCCTCATTTTTCCAATGGTGTCTGTTCAGGCTGCTCCCTCAAGAGGCTAGCCACTCACTGCTCCTGTGGCTCACTGGGGAGTGTCTTCCTAGGCTGTGGCACACTTGGGGGCCCATTTCCTAACTCTGATGATGGATATAATTTTTTTTAATAGCCAGAAGTTGGTAAAGGTCAAGTCTGATGCCCTGACCAAAGGACTCGGTCAGTAACCAGACCCTTCTGCGTATTATATGGGTGCCAAGGAAGCCAGGTTCTCGTGACCTCAGTGTCAAGGTAAGTAATTTTGCTCAGAAATGGGATGTGATCATGAAAGGAGAGAGATTTTCTCATATGGCTCTCAGAAACAGGTTCTGAAGGCAGGTCACATTAACAGTTGCTTCAAGTCTGTACTTGAGAGGAGCCAGCATGCTTGGAAATGTAAGTCCTGCTCTCTTGTTAAAAGTCACAGATTTCATGACCGTATGGACACATGGCGGCTGGTATGAGGCTACGTCAGGAGGTCCTATCAACTGGGTGGTCTTATCCAGCTCACTTTAAGGTTGGCTGTTGTCATCTTGTCACCCATGACCTGCTTCTCTGGCAGTTACCACTGGTGTGATCAGTGCTCAGACCCGTCAGAGCCTCAATCTGTGTGATCTCTCAGGGACAAATTCTGAAACTCAAAAAAATTAGTGAGAGAAGCCAGGTTTGTCCCAGGCCCCCTCTGCCTCCCAAGTATCAGTCTCTTCCCTCCCTAGGGGCTCCAACATTGACAGGGAAGACATTGTCACTGAGGGATTTGAGGTGAGGGTGGTGAGGACGGGCAGGGCCCTGGAGGCTGCTTCCAAGTTCCCCAAGTCACTCATTAGCTCCAACAAACACCAGCCACTCTGCTGTTTCCCATCCTCAAGAGAACGTGCCACCAAGATGGTCTCCAGAA